AGCGTCATAAATTCCCAAACTAAGCAGTGCTTGTGTATTGTGTTAAAGAACTGATGTATACATAGATAATAATTTGTTTGTAAATCCATACATAATAATAATAATCTCAGGACAATTCACACAGCGCCATCTAATCCCAAGTTAAGCTGTCTAAAGCTTGTGTTATGGGTACTAGATAACTGATACAAGTACATAGATATTTTTTATAAAACACCCAGACCGATACAAACAATCATATTCATGAATACAAATGTTTGTGCCGTGCGAGGAATCGAACCCGCGACTATCGGACGTAAAGCGGTGTGCTAGACCGCTAGACCACCGAGGTCGTCATATACATAGAATAAATACAAACCGAGATAAATACAAACAATCATACTCATGAATACAAGTGTTTGTATTGTGCGAGGATTTGATCCCGCGACCATCGGAAGTGAGATAAGTAAGTAATTATGCAACACGGAAGTATCTTGCCGTTCTTCTTGTGATGAGATAGATTGCCCGAATGAGTAGTATGTTAAAAAATAAGATTATTCAAAAGTGCTTATATTTAAGTTTATTTGAAAAAAACTTTTTTATTCTATTCTATTCATCGTAATACATAGGAAATAGTGCTTGTTTCCATTATATATGCTGTCGATTTATTTCGAATTCTAATTTCATAAATAACATCGCGAGGGACTAGATATTTGATAAATAATTTAATATTTTGTAATATATATTATTTCAGAGTGCCATAGCTTTTTATACATGTATATTGGATATCTCAGGCGAGATTTAGACGGGCCGTTAGGCAGTAATAATATTTGCGGCCCTGTATCACACTCAGATTGAGATGACCTGCAATAATTTACGGCCTTCATCTGATAAGATCGACGATCATTTGCGTTGGGTGTTATCTATATTTTCTCACATTGAGATGATGAACTTGTGTTTATGGTACTATTAAAACTTAATGCACAGATTGAGGAAGTCATTGAAAAAATGTAGTTCAAAAGTACTGAGTGTTCTCTATACTAAGATTTTAATAGAATGGTAAGTAAGTAATTACTAAGACTATTGTCCTCGGTAGTCTAGTGGTTTAACACACGGCCGTACCTCTCGTAGTCGCAGGTTCGATTCCTCGCAGTTACAAACATTTTTATTCATGAATACGATTGTCTGTATCGTTACAAAAGTGTTTTTTTATTTCTATTGTGTATATATTTACAATAAATGCAACTATTTATTTATATCAGCTGTCTAGTACTCATAACACAAGCTCAACTTACCTTGGCACGTTTGCATTAAAAAACACGTACAACCCTAATTTTTCACCTTTCAAAGCCTATTTTTTAATAGCGATATATATATAAATGAATATGGCAAAAATATTTGCCGGGTCAGTAATTTAATATAGATTTCATAAAATTATAAAGAATATAAGGTGTGATGTTATGTGAACGTTGAAAACAAACAACATATGTTGTGTTCCAATGTTTGAACACGTGTGAGTAATTCAAGTATTACTGGGGTTAAATGCTTGGATATTAAACGATTTATGTCATCTGTGACATATTGTGTCTATAGGTAAGTAAAATATATTAAAACATTACGTTCATAAACTAAAATGTCCTACATCATCATTGCCTTGCCTTTATCCCATTATTTGGGGTCGGCGCAGTATGTCATTCTCTTCCACTGCTCTCTATCGGTCGTCATATCTGAGCATACTCTTCTTTTATTCATATCATCTTTCACACAATCCATCCATCTTTTCTTAGGGCGTCCCCTCCCTTTACATCCATCCACATTCATATTATACACTTTTGAATAAATTATTTTAGATTTGATTTGAATTGATATATAATAATAATGATCTCAGGACAATTCAGTGGTCAGTAGACAGCCTCGGTGGTCTAGTGGTTTATTACAGACTTACTATCCGATGGTCGCGGGTTCGATTCCTCGCATGATACACACATTTGTATTTATGTGTATGATTGTTTGTATCGGTCTGGAGTTTTCTATGGATAATATGTATTTATTTACAAAAAAATGCATCCATGTATTTATATCAGTTGTCTGGTTCCCATAACATAACACAATTTCCATAACTCTGCTTAGTTTGCGACAAGATGGCGCTGTGTGAATTGTCTTGAGATATTATTATTATAATATAAATTATAATTCAATCAAAATATTATTTAGCGCCATCTAGGCCCCAAGTTAAACTAGCTCAAGCTTGTGTTATGGATAGTAGATTTTTTTTGCGTAAATACATACATATTATACATAGGAACCACCCAGAATGATACAAACAATTATATTCATGAATTTAAATGTTTATGCCGTGCGTGGAATCGAACCCGCGACCATCGGTAGTAAGGCGGTGTGCTAAACCACTAGACTACCGAGGCTGTCAATTCTCAGTGGAAAAGTAGGTGGATATATATACTATACGAAATTATAAAATATATGAATAATGATCCATTGATAATATATATAACATAATACCGATAATGATAATGCAGCACTGTGAAATAGCAATGTAAAATAAAATATCCATTTTGATATCCCAATATATATAACTCAAAGATGACTGACATAGTGATCTATAAACGCACAGCCCAAACCACTGGACGGATCGGGCTGAAATTTGGCATGCAGGTAGATGTTATAACGTAGGCATCCGCTAAGAAAGGATTTCGATTAATTCTACCCCCAAGGAGATAAAATAGGGGATGAAATTTGTATGAATCTTTGTCAATTTTAAACCGATCGGGCTGAGACTTAACATGCATAAAGCTACTATGACGTAGGCATCCCCTAAGAAAGGATTTTGGTAAATTCCACCCCTAAGGGGATAAAATAGGGGAAGAAAGTTTATATAAATCTTCTTAACTTTTGTAGGCCCTAATTTCTTACACACGCTAAACAAAAGTACATCCTAATTACGACGTAGGTATTGTCTAAGAAAGAATTTTGATAAATTCCACCTCTAAGGGGATAAATTACGGCCCAATAAACACGATTACAGACTAAAATCAACAAGATCAAGTATCGACCGAAATAAAGAAAATAATATAATATTATATTTTTATGGTTTTTAATTTTAGTAATTTAATTGTACAACTAAGAACCTAAAAATAAAAAAACATTGCCTAATTAAAAAAAAAAAGTTATTCACGAAACTTATCTTCATAGTAACGTCGCTATTGTATAGATATTATTATTTTATTTATTTATATGTATATGTATGTATGTATATTTTATATATAAAATTATGTAATATGTATGTGTATATGATATGTAAATTGACATCCAACAACTAATTGTTATACCTTTTACCAGGTATAGTCTAATCTTATCCTTCCAGGAAGAAATCGCTATTTAGCGATAAGGCCGCCCATTGTTACCTCCATATTATAATTATGTTTTAGTTTTTCTTTTTATATTTGATGTAATTTGAAAGAATAATTACATACATTAATATGTACTATTAATTTATTTAATTATTCTTTCTGCGAGAGGAACAATAAAGTGTTTTTCTTGTTCCTCTCACAGAAATTATTCTATTCTAATTATTAAATTTCTTTATTCATTCATAAATAAACATACCTTATGTATGTACTTTTTTATTTTTTTTATTGGATTGTTTGTGTTATTTTCAGATATATTTTGCTCTCCTTTTTCAAAGTTCGCTACATAGACCCGTCATTTGACGAAGAATTGAAGGATATTCTTAGGAGCGATGATTTTTATCTCCTCGGGAAAGAGTGTATATTTCCCAAAGGAGATATTTCGTTTATGCATGAGTGGGCTACAATCATATAGGATGTGTAGTGGCGTTTCCTCTTTAGTTATGTATGTAACCCATAAAGACGTACATTTTATAAAAGCGATAAATTTAAGAAAAATCTTTTTTAATCGATTACCGTTTGTGAATAATCGATTATTAAAGAGAATGACACATACCATTTAAGAATGCTACTATAAAATGGCCGGTATAATTAAAAAAAAGCAATAAAAACCGTTTACCTAAGTGGCAAAAACGTATACGAAGAAATACTTATGAATTGTAACCTTGACTTTGAAGTTAAATGCTTAAGAGTTTAAAAGTCGTATATTTGAAAAAAAAACAAAAACAACAATTATCCAATAATTATGTATTTACAAAAAAATATCTGTCTATAATAATAATAATAATCTTAGGACAATTCACACAGCGCCATCTAGACCCAAGTCAAGCTAGCTAAAGCTTGTGTTATGGGTACTAGATAACTGATTCAAATACATAGATCCTTTTTTTCGTAAATACATATTATACATAGAAAACACCCAGATCGATACAAACAATCATACTCATGAATACAAATGTTTGTGCCGTGCGAGGAATCGAACCCGTGACCATCGGATGTGAAGCGGTGTGCTAGACCGCTAGACCAGGGAGGTCGTCAAAAATATTTATAACAGTTGTCTAGTACCCATACAAGCACTGTTTATCGTGGTACCGCATATAGTCAGATGTCGCTGTTAACTGTCCAGGATTATTTATTTATTTATGTTGTAATTGGCTAATCAGAAATGTATTTATTATTCTAAATTTGAATTTAAATTTATAGTTATTCTATTGTACATTATCTTATATATAAAATTCTCGTGTCACAGTTTTCGTTCCCATACTCCTCCGAAACGGCTTGACCGATTCTCATGAAATTTTGTGAGCGTTTTGAGTAGGTCTGAGAATCGGCCAATATCTATTTTTCATCCCCCTAAATGTTAGGGGTAGTCCACCCCTAATTTTTTTTTTATTTTAAGGCAAAACAACGTTTGCCGGGACAGCTAGTTTTTATATAAAATTCTGTTATGCCAATAGCTTTTCCCAATATATATCTCTGTTTACCTACTCTTATTCTTTTAGCTGTACCTGTATGTATAAAATAAAACTACAATAATTTACTGATCCAGGACATATTACAAATCGTGGAAAGATAAAAAATATGTATGTTTTGTTCCAGGATTCCCATCAGAGCTGGTGTACCGAGGGTCTGCAATGTGGGAGACGCTGTACGGCGTCGTCTTAGCATTCCCGTTGGTTTGCTTCCTCTTCGTGCCAGTTTATTACAGGCTGCATACAAACTCCGTTTATGAGTATTTACAGGTAATATTTTAACTTTAACGAAATGACCCGACAAACGTTGTTGTACTATATTAATTAACTAGCTACTTACCCCGGCTTCACACGTATGTACATGTATTATACATATAAACATTGCTCTTGAATTACTCTATTTATTAAAAAAACCGCTTTAAAATCCGTTGCATAGTTTTAAAGATTTAAGCATACATAGGGACAGACAGCGATAGCGTTTGTTTTATACTATGTTAATAATGATATGACTATTCTAAAAAAAGAAGTTGATAATAGACTAAAATTAAAAGTGTATGTATATTTAATACCACATATTTAAACTAAAAATTGTTTCAAAAAAATAAAAATAAATCTAGAATAAAAATGTCTGTACCATGCGAGGAATCTAACCTGCGATCATCAGAAAGTACGTCTATGTGCTAAACCGCTAGTCCACCGAGGCTGTCAAATGTTGATGTAGATCCAATAACTTCCGCAAAATAACTAATTCGATCATCATCATCTGCTTCTTCCTTATCCCATTTATTTGTGGTCGTCGTAATATGTTTGTCTCTTCCATTCATCCCTGTTCGCAGTCATCTCGTTATTTACTCCCTTTCTTACCATATCATCTTTCACACAGTCCATCCATCTCTTTTTCGGTCTTGCTCTGCCTTTATAACCATCCATCATATGTAACACCTTCCTTAAGATATGATCTTCATTCGTACGCATTACATGTCCATACCACGATAGACGATTATTCTTTAACCTCTCCGACACCGGCGCCACTTTCAAACTTCCTCTAATGCATTCATTCTTTATCTTGTCCATTCTTGTCATACCACACATCCATCTCAACATTTGCATTTCAGTTGCAAGTCGTCTCTCATCCGTTTCCTTTACAGGCTAGCACTCTGTTCCATAAAAGTAACTAATTCGATAAAATCTGTAGATTTTTAATTTGATGTTTCTTTATAGATGAGATTCGACTCGATATGGGTCAGACGGATCGCCTCAGCCACTTTCATCGTCAGACAACTGCTGAACTTGTCTGTCACTGTGTACACTCCGACTGTGGCTCTTCACGCCGTGTTAGCATTACCACACTGGGCATCAGCTGCCATGCTGACTGCAGTGGCCATAGTCTTTAACCTGCTAGGAGGTCTAGCAGCTGCTATCAGGTAATTAACAATTTTTTTATGTATTGGTTTGTTTGTAAAGTCGTTTCGTTTGTTTGGTAAAATTATTCGTTTAATTAGATTAATAATAATAATCTCAGGACAATTCACACAGCGCCATCTAGTCCCAAGTAAAGCTATCTAAAGCTTGTGTTATTTATTTATTTATTTATTTAAGATAAGGTACCCACCACACTTACAGATATACCAAAGCGTGTAGTGAGCCAATAATATAACATAACGATTAATGTAATTTCATAAAAAACAACAAACAACACTCAATAAACTTATTAATATTGTTGTGAAAAATATCGACCTCTGGCTGCTCCGAAACCAAGCTATTGAGTAGCGAGATAGCTTGATAAGTAGGAGCAAGCTGGGCAGTGCATATGCGAACATGAGGTGCCGATAGTAATCGACACGTGCGTAGTCGCAGGTACCGCTCTGGGGCATATAAAGAACAACGACTTAGGGTTGTCGGATTATCTATTCTCCCATTCAGCAGCATATAATAGTGCACCATCAGATTACGCTTTCGCCTTACCTCTAACGTATTCATACCTACCATACCGCACACAAATAGTGACGGGTATAAAAAGGGATAATAGCCATTCAGATTATTGTATAAGTATCGAGCAAATTTTCTCGGAACTCGTTCTAACATTGCTCTATACTTTGTTTCGTTATGGGTCCTAGACAATTAATACAAATACATAGATATTTTTTTTGTAAATACATACATATTATACATAGAAAACACCCAGATCGATATAAATAATCATACTCATGAATACAAATGTTTGTGCCGTGCACCCGAATCGAAACCCGTGCAATCGAACCCGCGACCATCGGACGTAAAGCGGTATGCTAGACCGCTGGACCACCGAGGTCGTCAATTAATAATGTTAAACGTTTAAAAATAAGTATTAAACATTTGCCAATCATTGTTTTAAATAGCCATGTCGTGTGTGAATACGGCCATTTTGTACCTGAGTTTTATTTATGACGGGGACTTTTTGAGAGAAAAAAACCATATTATTTATCTGATCTGATGATTACCTTTTTAATGACAATAATAATGTCGGGTTTAGAAAATTATACACTTATACATTTTTATTATCAATTGTTTTGACTGTCGTTAAAATATAATTAAAGTTAAATTACTTAGTTATTTCTCGTTTGACGTTGATAATAAAATAAATTGGTAGTTCATTAAATATGAATGATTGTAGATTTTATCATATTTAAGATAGTAATAGGTCATTAGTCTTACGCTTAACAGATGTAGGATACTTTTACCTGACTGATTAAATTGAGACCACGTCATCAATTGAATGTATTTTTTTTTATTTCCACTATTTCTTTTATAAAAGTGTTTCAGTTTCACACGTGTTCAATTTACCTTTGATTTGTATACCGTATCTTACTTAATATTATAAACGTGAAAGTTTGTGAGTGTGGCTGGATGTTTGTTACTCTTTCATGCGAAAACTACTAAACTGATTTTGATGAAATTTTACAGTAATCTAGCTTATATATTAGAATAACACATAGGGTATGATTTGAAAAGATATTATGTAAATTGGGCGAAATATAATGATAAATGTCAAGTAAGTATAATACAGACGAAGTTGCTAGGGTCAGATAGTACTAATATATGTGGGATTGGATGAGTTGATGCATGAAGTGGAACATTGTGTGAAAGGAAAAGATGTGTGAGAGAGAAAGCGAGCTGGAAAAAGAAAAGAAGGAAGTAAAATGAAGAATAATAGAATAAGGAAGAAATAAATATAAGAATAAGTTATTATTTAGTACAATTAAATCCCATATATATACTTTACAATTTTTTTGTAATAATATCTTTTCCTTAACGTCCAGTTCCGTATACTGATTGATTTGAGAAGAACAAGCAGGATACACAACTTTATTTCTTCTTTTTTTATTTACATTCTGTACTTATGTAGATGTTAAGTATACATAAAATATAAAAAAAATATAGACATAGTTAAGTAAATACTTACGTAAAATACATATATGTTTTAGCATAGGTAATTTTAGTTTAGTTGAATCTTGAGGAATATGGATGTTGTTCCAACGTACATGGCGCTATATTTAGATGTTTTCTGTTTTAATCATCACCATAGATTGTTTAAATTTCTTAATTTAATAGATGTTAGGGTCCTTACGCTATCATCTCTTTACGATAGTAGTTTGAAATTTAACCTACTATTTAATAGGGATCAATGAAGGCTTGGTCAATTGAAACCCTCAATAGTATCTTTTTAAACTGACTGTTGTGTCCTTCGTAGTATATTGCTGGCCACTTAAAAGCTACTTTTTTACCTTTAAAAAGTATTGTATAAATTTGATTGGTTAATTTTGTGACATAAGAAAAATATATGATTTTATTTTACTCTTTTTTGCATCGATTTATTTTACATAATTATAGAGTAGATGCAATAGCTTTCTGCACATAAAGAACCGACATACAAACTATACATAATATATTATCTGGTAGAGAATGCCATCAGGCATTAAGTCCGCCATGTATACAATTTTGTGTGCAAAAGAATAAATAAATAAATAAATAAATTATCCACCACATTGACGGCACCTAATTTTGTAATATATATCTAATATACATAGAAAATGTATTATTACATGAATATTTTTTCTACAATAGTTAAATTAAGTACTTCAAAAAGCATTTTTTTTTTCATTGTTTCTTTAACATAGCTGTGTTTTTGTAAATATTACTGGGTTGTTATGTTACTGTGTTACTATTGAGTATTTATTTAAATTTTTTCTTTTTTTTATACTTGCATATGTCAAATATATCTGCTAATACCGAAATTAACTGTAACTAATTCTTCTTAAACGACAATAGTTGTTCATGCATGGCATTTTCATTTAATGTTAGACATAGACACCTCTATAAGTCCACAATGTTAACATACTGGCTTGAAAAAATCTGTTTTTTATTTTTTTTTATTAATAACGGGTTTGCGCTTGGTCTTACCTCATCTGATGGTAAATGATGGTAAGACCTAGGATGTAGTGCGCTTACCCAGAAGATATCTATTGACCATAGACTTGAAGAATCCGAGGTTGTATTTCTCCGGGAATACAAAAGCTGGAAGTGTGATCCACTCTTTGGCAGATGAGTTTCTTGCCAGTTCTTCTCAATTAAATCTATATACTGAACTAAAAAAAGATATGAATATACTTGTGGGGATTGATCTCTTCGTGTTACAGACACTTAGATTCAGACGAGATTTTTTTTTATATTTTTTTTTTTTTTTTTAAAAATGCAATAACATATGCTGGTGGTCACTCTATTGTCTCTAATTGAATTTAAAAGTGAATAAGTATTTTTGAAATCATTGATAAGCTCGTTTGAAAAAAATACAACTTGAGTTTCTTGTCAGTTCTTCTTAGCTCGACAGCACTCCGAACTAACGGCAATTTGCTATTATTAATATTAATTTTGACTAAAATTGACAAATCACAAGAGTCTGTAATAGATCTACCTGAATAAAAACTTTTGATTTGATTTGATTGAATAAAAAACTTTGCGTTCATAAGTATATTAGTTAAAATGTTTTATTTCTTGTTTTAATGTTTTATTATTCCATCAAGAAACTCAGCAGTTCTTCTTAGCTCGACAGCACTCCGAATTGACGGCAATTTATTATTATTAATATTTATTTTGACTAAAATTGACAAATCATAAGAGTCTGTAATAAATCTACCTGAATAAAGAACTTTTGATTTGATTTGATTGAATAAAAAACTTTACGTTCATAAGTATATTAGTTAAAATGTTTTATTTCTTGTTTTAATGTTTTATTATTCCGTCAAGAAACTCAGCTCTTATTATTTTGAACTAAATATTTTTTTTTATTTTTGATTGTTTTTTTTAATAATTTTAAATTCCTTTCAGAGCTGATGTCATACAAACAACAACAATGGTTCTCGTGATTTGATTTCATTGAATAAAATTCGTGCTGACGTTCAAAGTGGTTACAATGTTTTATAGCTTGTTTTAATGTTTTATTATTCCGTCAAGTACTCAGCTTTTATTATTTTGAGAAAATATTTTTTTAAGCATTTTATGATTGTTTTTTTTAATAAAAAATAAGTTACAGACGTTTCAGAGCTGATGTCATACAAACAACAACAATAGTATAATAATATTACGAAATAATACGAAAATATAACTCAAAAATTACTGGCCACAATTTGATCCAATTTACAAGACAATATAGCACGGGCAGCACGAGTTTTTTAATAAAACAAGAATCATCAGAAAATATTCATGTGTAAGTAGTAGTGTATGCAGGGCCTGCAATAGATTCTATGGAAAAAAATAGGTTACAGACGTTTCACAGATTTTCCGAATTTTACTAGAAACTAGAAAAGAATAGTAATAATATTACTAAATAATACGAAAATATAACTCAAAAACTACTGGCCACGATTTGATCCAATTTACACGAAACTACACGAGCAGCACCAGCATCCAAATAAAACAAGAATCATCAAAAACTATTTAACCTGAACTAAATCTAGGATATCACAAAAATTATAGTCAAATAGAGAACATCCTTTTTTTTAACTAATTTAGACACCGTTTCCAATAGATTCAGCTATTACTTTTTATTAGTATATGAATAAAGATTATTTCTATTTCTATTTCTATTTCATGGTAGTGCCTTTAATGGTTTTTTATCGACATGTATAATTTTTATGCTATAATATATAATTTAAAAAAGAATTAGAACTCTGGTTCCCTCCTATTCGAATTTCATACTCCTCGCAATTTTCCTAAATAAGGGTACAACGATTTTGCTTCACTGCATATAGAATAAAAAGTTGTAAACAATCGATTTACAATTGCAGATTTACTGGAGACCCAACAGTGAGGGTTGATACGCTATCAGCTTTCATCGGCCAGCTCTTCATGTCTGTATCTATATATGGCTGCCAGCAGACCTTCGTCCAAAGATACTGCTCCTTATCCAGTGAGTCCAAAGTGAGGAGAATGCTCCTGGCCAATGTGCCAGCAGTCAGCGTGTTATTCAGTTTGTCTTGGATAGTCGGCATGGTGCTTTATGCTGTATACCAGTATTGTGATCCTCTGGCTTCAGGGAGCATTGCGGCTCCAGATGAAGTGCTACCATTTTATGTTCAAGACCAGTTCTCCTTTTTACCTGGGATGCTGGGACTGTTTTTGGGCAGTCTCTTCAATGGTGCTCTAAGGTAATTTATATTTGTAACTTCTTTTGTAACCTTAGAAGGTTTAATAAGTTTCGAGCAATTTTTTTTAATTAAATATAATAACATACAAGTATAATGGTGTTTCCGTCTGCGATATCAGTTTAAGCTGGTGAAGTACCAGGAGAGATATATAGAAAATGATGAGCATGAGGTCAGGTCAGGCAAGCAAATTTACCACAGTAGTTTTCAGGGGGGGGGGGGGATACCACATGGTAGTCAACCGGACATGGTATATTGATAGTAATCAAACAGAGTATACTAGAATTAATTATAACCTACAGACTTATTTACTATTTAGCTTTAATCGTTACTATAATACATAATATCCTTGGACAATTGACACAACGGCATCTAGTACCAACCTAAGCAGAGCTTGTGTACTGGACTAAATACCTAATATATATACTTAGATACTTTTTTTAATACATTCATAATATATATAGAAAATATCTAGACCGATATAAAATATCTATACTCATGAATACCGAATATTTGTACCCAGCGAGGAATCGAACCCGCGACGTTTAAACATAAAGCTGTATGCTAAACTGTTAAACCACTGAGGCTGTCAAAATTAAGTGTTATACATATATTATGTTTAATTTACAGTTTCCTGGTTTCAAATGTGAACTCCTTAGCGACAGTAACGTGGGAGGACTTTGTATCTGCTGCACCGGCGTTCAAGGGCACCTCAGACAAACAACACCTGACAGTCATCAAGATCATTGGAATTATATATGGTGAGTACAGCATTTGACTTGATTTGTATTGGTTCAGAATAGAATAGAATAGAAAATCATTTATTCAAATAAACTTAATTTAAGCACTTTTGAATAGTCACAGTTATCATTCTTTTAATCTACCGCTCATTCGGAAAGCTGTCTCACAAGAAGAACGAGCAAGAAACTTGTGTGTTGCTCTTTGAAATAATTGTTGAAACTTTACATTATTATATATAAAAACCTGCGGTTTCACCCCATGAAATTTATAGCCTTTGTTATTCTGATATATAAGCTATATTACTGTAAAGTTTCATGATAATTCGTTCAGTAGTTTTTGCTTGAAAGATTAACAAACATCCATCCATACTCACAAACTTTCGTGTTTATAATAATAATAATATTTAGTTGTAAAGTTTGAATACAACTTATTATATTATATTTGTAAATAGATATTACTGTTTTGTATGACTAGTTGCATTCTACAGCTTTGTCTATGTAGAATATAAAGCGTATGCCACTCTCTGATATCATATTTCTATAGTTGGAATAATTTGTAAAATCTATTCAAAAGTGCTTAAATTTAAGTCTATTTGAATTTTCTATTCTCTTCTATTCTATCACCAGACTTGTCTTATAATAGCAAATTCTTCTTTCCAGCAATACTCATCATGTGCTTGTCCCTCTGCGTTGGAATAGTCGGAGGCGTCATTGAAGGATCACTTCTTGTGACATCTGCGACGTCGGGAGCTCTTCTGGGCGTGTTTATATTAGCCACTATGTGCCCAATGGCAAATGGCAAAGGAGCTCTGATCGGGATGCTGGCATCTCATTTTATAACAACTTGGATGGCTGCTGGAAGGCTGATATATGTTGATAAGAGCGTCGCTATGCTACCAGTATCTGTTGAGGTTAGTGTTTATCTCACATTATGTATAATAGATTTCTAAATGCTTTATTTCGTTTCGTAGCTTTGTGCTTAGTTGGCTGCCTTTTTTTATATAACACAGGGGACAAAGGAGCATACGGCTCATCTGATGGTAAGTAGTTACCGCCGCCCATGCCTACAGGGTAATTTAGTTGGAACTCTGTCTTCCTCAAGGCGAGTATCTTGGCCCCAAGGGGGGCATACAGGTAGGGTGGAGTTGGGTACGCCCATGCCTCCAGACCTCTTTCTCTGTAAAGGACTAGTGAAGCGGAGCCTAAAAATCCCTAATATTCCCTTCTTTTAACATACTCCAAAATCTAGACATATCAAACATTGAGACGTTATATTTATTTATTAATCTATAGTCTCTCTCTAATCTACGTTCGTTATCTATGATTGCAGAACTGCACCAATTCTACTAAGAACTTGTACAACGTCAAACCTCTGCCTATTGGAGTGAATGAAACATTAATGCAACTGGCGCCTCTGTTTCAAGCTATGAATCACACTAACCCCATCAAGAAACAAGCGGAATCTACGATGTAAGTATTAGAAAAACATTAATATACCATTAAAATAGAAAAGATGACGGATAGACATAACAATCGCCTATAAACATGAATGATAATGCCTCTGATTACACCGTCTAGAATGGAATAGAATAGAAAATGATTTATGCAAATAAACTTAACTTACGCACTTTTGAATGGTCATCACAATTTTTTTAATGTACCGCTTAATCGGAAAGCTGTCACAAAAAGAATGAGCAAGAAACTTGCGTGTTGCTCTATTCAATAATCATTGTAACTTTACATTTTTAAGTCGAAACATCTGAATATAAACTACCAACAAACACTAATTTATCAGGGTCAAATAAGATTGAATCAGTCGTAGTGATTAGCAGACCAGTCCCTCAAAGAATATCAGTTCTAATTGTAGGTATTAATTTTCCAGAAGCTCCGGTCTGCACACCATGTATTCGATATCTTACATGTGGTATGCAGTTATTGGTACACTTACATGCGTAACACTCGGCATTATAATCGGCTATATCACAGGCAAAGATTCAGAAATATACGACGAGCGTCTCCTACACCCGTTAGTGCTAAAACTATCCAGAAAAATGCCGGGACGCAAACGCCAATTCACAAACGATAAAGCAGAGAAGGTTCCAGAACAGAAAGACTCATCAGAACACACAGATGACACAACCGTTGAGACTGTTAATGAAGAAACGAAGGATGTGAAAGCAAGTCCTATAAATTTAAATAATAGTAGACTCTTCGATGCGTACGAAACTAGAACGCCTTCTCCAATACCTGAGAGAACGAAGTTGTGATTTTGCACTGACAATTTAGTTTTAACGTTGCCATTTTCAGGCTGTGTATGATATTAGATAGATTAGAAATATTAATTTAATAGGATGTTTAAAGAATGGTTGCGATGATGGATCTAAATGGATGCTTTTCATATGAAATTTTGATATATTTTTTATTTCAGTGCCGTCTGTATTAAATGTCGTATAATTATGGCTAACTTTATTTATATATATTTTTATACGATAATGAAATGGTGCACCTGCCTGCGATAACGGTTTACGCCGGCGGGGCACCAGTGGAGGATAATAATATGAACATGAGGTCGGATCAGTTAGTCCATCGTGATAAATTCACCTAGAATCACGATGGTTTTCAGGAGGAACCGCGCGTCAATCTGATATGGTATTATACATTGCTAACAATGGGGTCAAGAGCCCCCATTACTAACAATACCAGGAAGATTATTGTTAGTAACTAATTTAACTTTATTTATATTGTTAACACGAATTATGGTAAATAAAGGTATTTGTACACGACGATTAGGTTGCACTGGTACTGGCCAGGAGCTAACAGGAGCAAGAGAGATGAAACCTTTCGTGTCGTGAGAGTTAAGGAAGACAATAAATGTATGTCAGCTCTTATTTTAAGCAAAAAATTTCATTGGAACCTAAAGTATAATATATAATTCGGACCAATATATTTTTTATACATTGTAATAATAAAGAATCTATATAATATTATTATACATAGAAGTATGATAAGACCTTATTAATATGTTTGTATTTACATAGTATAAATCAAATTCGCCGCTATCTTTTAAACTATGCAATGTATTTTAATTCAGTTTTCAGCAGTAGATAGAGAGATTCTATAGAAAGGTTTATATGTATAAGTCATGCATACTGTTGTACAGAAAGATGAGAAATTCAAATATTTGTAATTCATTCATGCGAAGCCGGGGTGGGTTAATAGTTGTAACACTATACATACACAAGCGACTCGCTTCGAATGTTTATTTCTGTAATAATGTACAATCTCATTTGAAAAGAATAAGAGCTTGGTTTCTTGTCAGTTCTTAGCTCGAAAGCACTCCAAACTGATGGTAGAATAGAATATAATAGAAATAGAAATAATCTTTATTCAAATAAACTCATTACAAGCACTTTTGAATAGTGATATTTTGATTCTACCACTCATTCGGAATGCAGATTCATCACAAGAAGAATGAGCAAGAAACTTGTGTGTTAATTTAACATACAATTAGATAGATTTGACATACAAAGATATTTCGATTTGATTTATACTTATATATATGGAAATACATTAATAAGGTGGGATTATATTATACATTCTTTATTTATACATAATTAATCTACCGTTACATTATATATGTATAAATTATAGTAATTATTATTATATATCTAAGGCATTATAGAGTTATGAATTATTATCAACATGCAATATTATGTAAAACAACATACTGTAAAAGAATGAAGATCCTTTTACAATAATTGTATAATAAATTGTTTACAATCATATATAATATACAAAAATATATATACTATGATAGAAACTTCATTCTTTTGTGGTATAAATTGTAAACAGTTTATTTTATTTGTAAATATATAATAACAGCTGTAAATACATAATAACATGTACAATTGTGCAATTTCTTGAGAATTATTCAAGAACGTTTTATTGTTATTTGGTACACAGATATAACAGCACAAAACCTTGTTAAATTCATATTTATTATATAACTAGTGGTACCCCCGACTTTGTACGCAGTATTTAAGTGGACATATGTAGATCAACATAATAAGATATTTTTTATATTTTTTATCTATGTACTACTGGTTTTAATTATAACAATATAATATCTTAATTATAATAAATTGAATTCATAAGAGAAACAGACGTGATGCGCTTCTAAATATAGAGTTACGACATTGCTCATAGGCCAATATATTTATATATAAAAATAATATAAAAATATTTAATACAAATTGACCTATTGGTCAATTTGTATATTTAATCACGAAGGTGATATTATAAGGTTTAAACTGTTCCTAACTACTTATTTATTTATGTTTGTATACTGTTCTTATAAGTATTTGTTCTTTTTCATACTTACATATAATTAAATATGTAAGTATGAAAAAATATTTTTAGACCTAGCAACTTCGTAAGGGCTATTTTATGCATTAAATAATTCATAAATGCCATATAATTTAATAAAAATGCATATTTATACATTTAATATTTACATATTAATTCATTTGTATAAATATAAATTAATTAAATTAAATATAATACTTATAAATATTATATAAATTCCATTTATTTTAAGCGATTTAGTTTTCATAATTACATAATAAGTTACTGATCTGATGTAAATACATCATATAAATTTTATTAACATTATTAGAATATATTTTTTTAATGTAAATGTAAAAATGTAAATATAATTTTATATGTATAAATATTGTTATGTAAAATGATATTATTTATAAAAATGGGTTTGTAATTAAATAAAACTCCCAGTAATTTTACACTTCTATGTTTACAAATTATAATTATAATCTGTAATTTCTTAAATTATTTTTAAAATATGTATGTATATAAATTAATATTATTTTTTATATCTGAGTACTCTATCAGTTGTCTGGTACCCATAACACAAGTTCTGCTTCGCTTGGGACTAGATGGCGCTGTGTGAAATGTCTAGGTTTACTATATCTACCTACATATATTAGTAGTAATTTATCTGTATTACAATTTCTAAACCTTTTAAGGTCCTCTATATACTATAATATTGTAATTTATACCAATATGAATAGAATTAATATTTTTTATAATAAAATAAATAAATTAGTATAATGTAATTAAATTTATTTCAATTTATTATTTTATTTATTATTTTATTTTAGTGTAAAATAGAAGAATAATTCAACTAAATTTATTACGCTGAAATAATTAATGAAGTGACTACAAAACTTTAGAAATAAACATTGTTTAATATTTATTGATGTTTAATATTTACTGAAAGATTGTGAAGAACATACTAGTTTTGTAATAATTTAATAAACTCAATTTAACTTTTTATAATTTATTTGTAATAAATAAAAAAAACTTGTTTATCACTAAAGTTTGGTTATTTATAAAGTCACTCAACTAATTTTGTTGAATATATTTTGTATTATTATATTGTATTTAGTTTTGATATTGTGATATTACTTATGAATAAGTTAATTATATTTTAAGTGAACCATTGGCTTAAAGACATATTACACCAGCTTTTACCCGCGACTTCATCCGATTGGAACTAAACTTTTTTTTTTATTAAAATTGTTATAATAAAGTTACTCCTCATAACATTAGCTATCTGCGAATGAAAGTCCCGTCAAAATCGGTTAACCAAAACATTTTTGAAATCGTTTTTTTTTTATGCAAGTACCATATATACTTTCATATGCATTTAGTGATTAGCTGTTAATTTGAAATTACAAACAGACACTAAATTTTTTTTTATATGTATAGATTCTTCTCTCATTCAGTCCTAAACTCATTAATGTGCCTTCAACAAGTTGTTGTGATGTTTGTCAGTATTAAGTACTTTTTACAAGGAGTAAAGTAAAGGAACGAGTACGGTGTACTTATTTTGTAATATTTTTTTTAGAATAACGAATATTATAAATGATAACCAAATAAATTAGAATTATAAAACATTTGGAAGTTTCATTTAACTAAAGTACGATTATTAATTCCAGTCAGTAAAATGACAAGTGCAACTGTCACTGATACAAAAATGGGTGACCCGCTACAATAGTGATGCGCGGCAATCAATAGACTTAGACATTTAGTCACGCTTTATTTTATTAGGTATCGAAGACTTTTTTTTTTATTTTAAATATTTAATACATATCATATTAAATAATACGATTTTAGAAATATGGACCTTACCAGCATATTAAAATTTCTCACTACAACATTATTACAAAAGCTGGGAAAAAATGTAAAAAGAGATTCAGAGGAATTAATACTAGAATTTTGATTTATATAAAGGCAATATATGAAGGCAATTTGATATTGAATAAAAAAAATGTAATCTCGACTAACTTTTAATTGTAAAAACTAGATTCTACCACATCACTATTTATTTGGGACTAAAAACCTGCAACACTGGAAATGTCATTTTACTGACTGGAATTAATAATCTTACTTTAGTCGACATCCTGTTGTCTAAATTCTTTAATTTAAAACCAAAGACCATAAGTTATTTGACATTCAGGAAGACTATAGACAAATAATATTAAAGACAATATTAATCTATTCTCAATTTGACCACAGACTTTAACAATAAACAAACGAGTATATATGTAAATATGCGTGTGCGTGTAATATATATAGTAGCGTAGAATAATAGAACAGAATAGAATAGAAAATCATTTATTCAAATATACTTACATTGAAGCAGTTTTGAATAGTCATCACATTTTTTTTAATCTACCGCTCATTCGAAAAGCTGTCTCATAACAAGTGTGTGTAATGTTTTTATTGATTCAATATTCAAATTAAAATTCAAAATTTAAAATTATTATAATCATGTAGCTCTATTGCAGACTGTTATGATATGTCAAATCTACCGTCAGTTCGGAATGATTTCGAGATGAGAACTGACAAGAAACTCAGCTCGTATTCTTTTCAAATAAATGTTGTACATGTTTACAATAATACAGATTCATTTAAATTCAAATTTGGAAAATAGAGTGACCAGCAGTATGTACTATTGCAAAAGCAAATAGTCTAATCAGTGTTCGTAACCCAAACAGACCAGTCCCCACAAGCAGCACCCGTTCACAAGTATGACGGATATATTCTATGATATAATATAAATATTAGCGTTTTGTACTCCTCTACATAAACTTTAAGTGTGCGAAGTCTCATACTTCCTTCCTCATTCTCATCCTTCCGCGAATTTTTTGTAACTATGTTTTTTTTTTAATTAAATAATACATTATGACAATCAATACCAACCTTATAAACCATGTAAGGGTTTATGAGGTTGGTATTTGATCCGTTTACGAAAGTTAATATATATGTGCGCTGTAGCATGGTGTAGGTGACAGTTGCCTGTATTTGTAGACTATAACATTCTGGCTGGGTTAAATTTAAGTAATTACAGTTAATAATGATTTAATATACTACGAAAGTACAGTAGTAGTATAGAAGTAGGTACAGTTGAAATACTAAGTCATAATTTGTAAATCGCGGCAATTTTCAAGAGTGAAACGAAACGTCACTGAAACTGTCACCCGCATCATGCTTCAAAGCACGTGGTGTAGGTATGCTTTTTTTTTAATTACATATTAAACTATGACCTTTGAATACCAACATCATAAACCCATACATCCATTTAATCCATTTCCGAAACTTAAGTACGGTGTGACGTCACCGCGCATTTCTTATGCAAATTCCGGAAAAGGGACACTTGCTTCGTCG